TGTAATAAAATAAAAATGGCTGAGGATATGGCTCAGTAATAGAGGGTCACTGGATTTAATCCCCAGTACCACAAAAGTTTTTTTTTTTAAATTAGAATATACACACAGACATAAAAGTGATGATCTACTCTTTTTATTATTATTATTATTATTATTATTATTATTATTATTATTATTTAATCATGTTCTTTTTCTATGTTGCCAGGCTGGCCTTAACTCAGAATCCTCCTGCCTCAGCCTTCTGAGTAGCTGGGTAATATTATTTATAATAGCTACATAGTACTCCACAATGAATGTGTAATAGTTAATGGACTTTTTGTTTGCTGATTTTTACAATGACAAACATGCTATAGTGACCAAATTTGAGTATACATTTTTGAACATTTGTGCCAGTATTTTTAAGGGATAGAAGATTCTTAGGTCAACAGTTATATAATGTAAAAACATTAAGAGTTACTGCCAAATAGCCTTACTGAAAGATTTATTTTTATTAATTTACTCTTCTACCAACAATATTTGAGAGAGTACAACCACTTTAAAAAAAATTGCAGTTCTAGAGACTGAACCCAAGGCCTTGCACATGCAAGGTAAGTGCTCTATCATTGAACTACACTCCCAGCCCAAAAGGGTACAATCTTTTGAGGCAAGCTCTCCTTAAGAAGATAGACTCTCTATGCTATGCATAGTTGAGAATTTTACTCCGAACTGTTTTGTATTTATCTTTAATGATAGCACACGTTCTTTTTTCCCTTAGAGTATTTTAATTTCCTTGGAGGCTAGGATCATGTCATATACTCCTTTGGTATTTCCCACAGTGCCTAGTACAGGCTGGGCAACTGTGGGTGCTCAATATGTACTTGATGATTGACTGATAAACCGGTTTATATTTTTGGACTACACAATGTTTTGAGGCCAGCTTCTGGAATGAGAGGGCTAGGCGGAGTCAGACGAGGGATGTGCCAAGAAAGTATCAAATGCTCTCACTTGGCCATCATGTTTACACCATAATGTGGGAACCTTATCTGTACCAACAAAGCACTTAGCACAATCCCTGGTTCAGAGAAGGTCCTGAATAGATGGCCTCTATTGCTGTTATGATTTTTGTTTAGTGGGAGGATTGTCTTAGGGCTAGTTTTGAGGGTTTAAGCATAACACCTAAAACTCTTCTGAGTGGAGTTAGAAATCCACAGATAAATCCAAATTGGGCACAAGCAGGAGAAACCAGGAGTCAGAGAGAGAGAGAAATAGGGGCTTGGTTTCTGACACCTGAAACAGAGTCTCAGTTGGACTGTGATGGACACTTTCCCTGCCACCCCAGATAGTTTTTATTGGCTTTTTTTCTACATTTGGCTTTCATGTCCTGGCATCTTAAAGATACTACTTAGTCTTAGAGAAGAGCCAACAATCCCAGAATAGTGCTATGAACACAGGAAGTGCTTAATGAGAGCTGTTCTATTTATCTCTCACCTGTTGATACAGATAGTGTGGCAGCAGTGTGGAGGGTTCACTTGAGAAGATGGTGCTAAAGAACAGCCATTGCCTAGAAGTAGTTTACTGCCCAAGCTTTCTCCAATCACAGGGTGAGGTGAGGGACTGGGAAACCAAGCAGCCAGTCAGAGCATTTGATACTTTCTTGGCACATCCCTCATCTGACTCTGCCCTCTAAATTCAATGATGAATTTAAAGGCTTTGAAAACATGGTGGAATATGGACAGCACAGGCTCTATGAAATAAGTAATGGCTCTCATTCTTCTTACATCTTTATCTCCATTTGGCAGTGTGGCTGAAGGAGGGAAATGAGAGATGGCCATTGCATAGATGCCATTATAATATTCATTGATTGTGTTTCTCCTACATGCCAGACATTTATCCCCTTTATAACTCTAACTCTATGTGGTAGGTACAACTGTCTCTTGGTATCTGCATGGGGTTGGTTCCAGGACCCCTATGAATTCAAAAATCCACCAATGCTCAAGTCTCTCATATAAAATGGTGTAGTATTTTTATATAACCTACATACATCTTCCCATATACTTTAAATAATCTCCAGATTATGTATAATACCAAATACAATGGAAATGCTGTGTAAATAGGTGCTATGATGCATCATTTAGGGAATAATGATAAGAAAAGAAAGTCTGTACATGTCTAGTACAGGTGTAATTTTCTTCAAAATATTTTTGATCTGCAGTTGATTGATACAAAGGGCCATCTGTATTAGCTTTGTTTGACAGATGGGGAAATAGGCTCAAAATGGATAAATTGTTTGCTGAAGGTTACACAAGGTATTAAGTTGCAAATCTAGGATTTGAAGCTAGGTCTGTATGGCCATAAGACTTGTGCTCTTCCTATGCTACATACCATCCTGCCTCTTCTATGCCATCAATAGTAGCTCAGGTCTCACAGAAAGAGATGTCGCTTAAGAATACTGGGCTGGTCATATATGGGCAGGGCATATTGTGGGTCTTTCTTTTGCTCATCAATTCATTCTACAAACGCATACTTTTTGTCTAGTTAGAAAGTAGGAAGAAGAGTATAAGGCAGGTAGGTGGGATGGGAAGGGGCATGTGTGTGGAGAGGAAGGCAAGGAGACATAGGAAATTTTGGGCTAAAGAAAATAGAGGAAAAGTCGCCATCAAGAACTCAAAATCAGGGTGGAGAATGATTTTGTGTGTCTCTCCAGGGCTGTAGCACTGAATGGTCTCTGGAGCAACACTTACAGGCAAGCTTCAGCCCACTGGTGGCACTCAGGATCTGAGGCCTTCAACAGCATTTTATACCTACACACACACACACACACACACACACACACACACACACAAATGAACCATAAATATGGAGCCAGATTTTTAAACAAGCACTCCAGAATATATGCTGCCATACCATGAAGAATCTTATAAAATGGAGGGTTATACCTTGATTTTAGTGGTGTTGCTAGTGCTCATTGTATGATTATAACTCCCCTTCAAAAGAACCAACACTGATTTGGATGCATATAATGGGAAGTTTGTTAAAAAGAGAAAAGAAACGAAAAAAAGAAATAAAAATCTCAGTTTATAGTCACAATTTAGTTATGTATATCTATTAAGACTTTAAGGATTACATAAATGATGTAATTATATAGAAGGAAGTGCTATGGAATGTTTTCCACATAAAATTTCCTTAATTTTCTTTTAGTCGTGAGCATGATTAAAAAGATTGTAATAAACCAAGCCTGATTTACATAGCCATTTAATTCCAGAGGGAATGTGACCTAGAGCAGGGAGGGGCAGAGCTCAGGAATGTGTTGCTGTGACACATAGATTCCAAGACTTCCCAGGCTTCTCTTGTACCTGAGCTATGGGCAAAGTATGTTTGAGTAGCTGCAGAGGCTTAGTTTTGACTGTTCCACAGTCAGAAGGATGGCAGCTGGGATGACCATGTTATTTCTAAGGGCATCTGATATACAGAGGCTTGGGAATCCAGAGAGCTGATGGGGCTGAGGGAAGTTCCTCTCCCTCCCATACCAAGTGTGTACAATCCCAGAACCCTCCAGAATTCAAAGGGGTGGAATGGGAAGCAATAATACTGATCATATGCTTCATAAGGAATAAACCAATGATTATAATCAGCATGAGTGCTCAGGAATAATAGAAGCTTTATAACGAAATAATTTCCTCTATAAATTAATTATAGCACATCTCTCATAAGAGAATTACCTAGTGATTTTTTGCTCCTTTAAATTTTTTTATTGAAAGGTGTCACAAAAGTGTCAAATATAATTATTGTCATGTAGCTTTTTGCTTCATACTGTATGGGATCCAAATACTGTAAAGGAGAAATAGTTCTTGACCATGTATGTGGTCTTTCATTAAAATCAACAACAACAAAAAACTTTGGCAGTATTTTCTGTACTAATTCCAAGTACTATAACTCTACAGAAACTTTTGTAAAGCTCAGGAAAACCTAGGCTGGTGATATAGGCACTCTCAACAGTGTGGCAGATAAGGAGAGGCCACCTTGACTCTTTTCTTATATTGCCTCTTACATTTGGAAGGCAAGAACCATCCTTGTGGAAAGAGACCTGATGCTTTGTAAAGTCTACACTATAAATATTGTGGTTCTCAACTCTTTTCCCCACTCCAATCTCAAACTTCTTAAGGATGTGACTCACTAGGATTGGTAGCAGTCACTCATGGTGGCAATAACTGCAGATGGGGGTGGCAGAAGGAAAGGATCAATCTGGTTGGTTGGGTAGAAATTCTGCCTTGGATTCCACCTTAATTATCATAAGCTCTTCAAATCTAATAGAAATTAACAACATTTTTGGCAACCTTCATTATTCACCTGGAAGAATTTGTCATCTTAGTGGAATTTCTCTTAAGTCCCTTAATGTCAGTGAATTGTTTTTTGGTACTGTCAAAATGATTCTGTGGTCTTGAAGACAGTTATCCCTTTCAACTTCATTTTTATATTTATTTGTTTTGTTCTGAAAGCCTTAGAAATGCAGGCCACGGTGCCTGAGACAGAGGTGGGGTCACTGACTACTGAATGGGACTTGGGAGGAAGAAGACTCATCTTTATGCTGACGAAGAGTAAAACCAGGAGTTATGGTTGATTTTAATGTGAATAGGACTGGAGAGGCCCAGGGCGGACCTAGTTTGGGGTGAGCATCCGGATCTGTGAGCTAGTGTTGGCTTCAGTATCTCACCATGCATATAAGTAGGGGGAGATTGGTATCCGCCTCTCTGTCTCATCAGCACTATCCTTCCCCTACATCTTTGCGTAACTATATTAATAGAAGTCAACACTTCACATACTGGCGCTGGGACCCCAAAGAAGCAGGCAGCGACTTGGCAGGTGGGCAAGTAGCAGGGAGATGGGTGGGGGAGTGGGCGGAGACATTGTCGAGTGGCGTCAGGAGTAGCCAATGGCAGTTCTGAGAAGGGGCGCCAGGGGCGGAGGCGCTGAGGCTGTTTAGCCAATGGAGAGCGAGCAACTACTGGAGCGACCTGGTGACGTGAGGAGCGTTCCATTCGGCCAGCGGTGGGCGGTTGCCACAGCTGGTTTAGGGCCCCGACTATTGGGGCCCCTTGTCAGGAGGAGGCAGCCTCCAGTCCGGGGAGAAAAACTCCCTGCCACCTTTGGCGGCCGACGCGGTCCCTTGGGACAGTGCACTTCCTGCCCTCAGTAGCTGGCCGAGTTCGGTCTCTCTCGTTCAGGTAACAAGGGGTGGGGGTGGGGGTCTCCTGGACTCGGCTTGCGTGGTGGGCTGCCTCCCCTTCAGATGCACCCGGGCGCGGGGACATTGGCACCGCCCTTCTCAACTCGACAGCCACCAAGCCCCTGGCCCGGGTGACTACACGTGGCGGGCGTGTGTGAGTGTGTACGAGTGTGTGGACGCGTGTGCGTGTGGATGTGGCGCGCGTCCCAACCTGCCTGGGGCGGTGGTCCGCTGCGTGGCAGAGGCAGGGCGGGCCTCCTGAGGCCGCGCCCGTGGCCCGGCCCAGGACTCGGGCCTCAGACGCTCGACTAGTGGGTTGGTCGCTGCTTCCCGACGGGTTTTGATCTTTGTTCTCACAGGCCGGGTTCCCCTTCCTGGTCTCTCTCCTCCTGCTGGGCCAGTTTATCAGGAGGAGATTGTTTTCCAGGTTAGTTTTACACAAAGGAAGTGTTCTGTGCACCTCTGGTGCCTCCTCCCCTTTCTCAAGCCTTCACCTTCTCATTTCCTGGCTCAGCTCCTGGTCCCTCTTGGACCTTTGCCCTCTCCTGTCCGGGAATGATCTCGAGTTGGTTGTTTCTTTCAGTCAGTCGGACTGCAGGCTTCCACCTCATTCTTGCGTGTTGTGTCAGTAAATAGAGGCCACAGCCCCACACCTGAGAGGGGGAGGATGGCAGTGGCTGAGAAAGGGTAGGCCTGGGAATTCAGGATGCTGAGCAGAGATTGTACTTAAGAAATGTCCCAGAAAGCGTCCTTATGACTTGTCTCAGTTGCCTGCCCCCACAACCACCCATCTCAGTTACCAACCATTCTAGAATCTCTTCTGCTTAAGTCAGGCTTTCACCTATAGGTCTGTAATGTGGTTTCATTAAGATTCCCACAAATGTTAGGCTAGACCAGCAAGATTATTTCATTTCCCGGACTCAGGAAGTTGTAGAGGGTTTGATGAGGGGAAATCCGTTTTGTGTAAATACAATATGTTGTATGTGTACAGAGTGTCCAGAACCTCCTACCCCTGCCAGAGGGCGAGTTATTCCCTGGTGTGATTCATATTTGAGTGGCTAACCGAAGAAGGTGAAGAAGTGGAGGAGGGAAGGGAACAGCTCCTTAAGGACAGTAACTCTACTATCATTTTTAGAGTCCTCTTAATGAATATTAAAGAACACTGTGGTATGGTAGAAAGTGTCCTGGACTGGAAGTCATCGCCTTTTTTCTTTTTTGAGCTTTGCTTCTGTGATCCTGGATAAGTTGTTCCCTCTTTATGGTCTTCAGTTTACTCATTTACAAATAATGAGGATTATCACCTGTAAAATCCTTTTTGTTCCAAAGTTCTGTGATTGTCAATTCATCAATATTAGTTTGGAAGCATACAGTTTAAGAAATGGTGGCCCACTTCTTTTTTGGAGTACTTTTAGTTGTTTCTCCTTTTAGATGACAGACTGGAAATTAACTTCCCCCATTTCCCCATTCCCATTCCTTTGGGCAGTGATCTTTTCTGCCTCTGGGAAAGGAAAGTTGATCTGCATTTTCTTATTATTACCTCATTTTTTTCCTTTTTGTGCTTTTCCTTAGGGCTAGAAATTGGACTTTTGATGATGTTTGACCCAGCAGCATCAATAGCAGGCAACGTGATTTTGAAGCTGGTCTCAGCCTCTGTTTCTTCTCTCGTGTAATCACAAAGCCCACTTTGGACCTGGAATTCCAATCATGTCTGTGATGGTGGTGAGAAAGAAGGTGACACGGAAATGGGAGAAACTCCCGGGCAGGAACACCTTTTGCTGTGATGGCCGTGTCATGATGGCCCGGCAAAAGGGGATCTTCTACTTGACTCTCTTCCTCATCCTGGGGACCTGCACACTCTTCTTTGCCTTCGAGTAAGTTTCCATTGAGTTGCCTAATTATGATTGCTCTGGATCCAGGGGGAAGAGCCTTCTTTCTGGGGAGTTTGCTGCTAGTCCTCGGATGACTTAAACAGTGTCTGTAGTTGACACTAACTGAATTCATTGCTTTGTGATTATAGTATGTGCTTCCTACAGAGACTAAGACCGTTGATACCAATTTTATAGCACTGATTTGGGGCTACCCCTGACAAATTTGGGAATAAGGGAGATACCTCCCCCTTTCAGTGGCAAGAGATTAGGGACAAATGGCCTCTTTCCATCCTTCCCAAGTCTAGGGGTACTCCTTGTTATTATAATACCACCCAACAATACTTAATCTGTTATTCTAGTCCCATTTCCTAGTCTCTAGCTCTCAGATAGCTGGTAAATTGAAAAGCCAATGGAATTGGGATCTCCAATTCACTGCATATTGGTTTCAGGCTCAGTAGTACCACAAACAAGCTGAGGGCATGGCACATAGGTGCTTCCTAAAAGTGAGTTACTCTTTCTTTCCCTCAAAATCACTCAATGTGCACTCTCTATTCTTTGTATGCCTGACACCAGCCTTGGAGTTATTTTTTTTTTTCTGTGTTGTAATAGCTAGTACTAGAGCTACTGTTTGAAGTCTGTGTAGGTCACTTCTCTAGGGAGGTGGCCAGTTGGATTCTAGGGCACTGTGGCATGACTAGTGGGTGTGCTGAGAATGCTCTACACTCTAGGGATGAGAGCAGTGTTAATTGTTTTGGGATTACTGTAAGGAAGGCCTTGAGGAACTGGAGGTGTATGTATAGGCTGAGAGCCATACCTGATGGAAGCCTGCTCTGGTTCATTGTACATGGGTGACCTGGAAATGGAGCTCCCATGTTGGGGTGTGGTCAGGGTATATAGGAAGGGGGCTCCTTGGCCAGGCTTTGTGAGTAATTAAAATGAGTTCTGGTCCCTTGGGGCTCATTTTGTCCCTCTCTATGGGCTATAGGCTTTCCCAGTGCATGCAGAGTATTTGGGGACTGTTTTGCCAGACTTTTTAATGATTACATCTGGCTTGAGTAATAGCAGGGGGGAGAGAGGCCCCAGTTTACACAGGGCTAGCAAAGTAAGGTCACAGGAACTCTTTGTTAAAGGTCCTTTTGGTGTTGCTGCTGCTGCTATTGCTGCCGACTTTGTAGAGTATTTGGTGAGATCAGGCAGGTTGCTGAGGGCTTTTAGCTGCTTTCCAGTCTGAGTTTCATGGCTGAGTGTGTGTGTGCCCGTGTGCATGCACCACGTGCTTGTGTATGGTGTAAGTGAGCATGTGCAGCTGGGCAGGCATATGCATGACACAAAACAATTTGTTTTCATTCTTCTCGTCATTCTCTCAAGTTTCTTTTGCTTATTCCTGCCTTGCTTCTTGTTGGAAGGGCAAAACTGAACTCTGTGGTCATTCTCTCTCTTTTTGTCCCCATTACCTCTGTAGCTAAATTCTTATGAGTGAAATCATTCATGAAATTGATGAGACCTGCTTCCAGGCTCTGAATGAATTGGTAGCCCTGGGTTTAGGAAACCTCTGGTTTGACTGGCCAGGGGAACTTGGAATTTGAAGCCATTGCTCTTTGGCCCGTTTTGTATCTGGGAACCAGTGAGAGACTCTGACTTGCATCTCTTCCACTTAGGCCCCTGCAGGCCTCTGAAGAAAACTGCTATGGGATGAAGCTTATAATTAGCCAAGTTACTGTTTGACAGAGGCTGGTTGAATTTTCTTCCCAAACAACTTTCATCTGCAAATTATTTCTTTCATTTTTTTGGGTACTGGTGATTGAACTCAAAAGTGCTTTACCACTGGGGCTGGGGCTGTTGCTCAGTGACAGAGTGCTTGCCTAGTATGTGAGAGTCACTGGGTTTGATCCTTAGCATCACAAAAAAATAAAAATAAACAAAAATAAAGGCATGCTGTCCACCTGCAACTATAATTTTTTTAAAAAAGTGCTTTACCACTGAATTAGATCCCCAGTCCTTTTTATTTTTTATTTTCAGTCAGGGTCTCACTAAGTTGCTGAGGATGGTTTTGAACTTATGATCCTCCTGTCAGCTACTTGAGTTGCTGGGATTATAGGCATGCGCCGCTGCGCCTGACTGCTTGCAAGTTATTTCTTGTGTTTTTCCTATACATGTGAAGGATGTGGTTTTTTGTAAGACTGTCCTGAGTTCCAGCTGTCTACATGAAAGAGTAAATATTTTGAAGGTAGGGCAGGGAGAGGGAGGAGAGAAGGAAGTTAATATGTTAGCTGAGAAGGGGAATGGGGAAGTATAAATCTGACCAAATTTGAGAGGATCCTGATGATAAATTCTTTTAACTGAGAATGTAGAATCTGTGTTTGAATGTGTGTGTGTGTGTGTGTGTGTGTGTGTGTGTGTCGTATCCTGACAAACAGATGTTTTAGATGGTGGCTGACTTTTGCTTAGCCAGTGACAGGCTGTACAGGCACACTAGCATGCTTCTGAGAAATGAAGTGTCTCTTTCTGGTTGACCTTTTCCTTTGAGTTTATAATTTACTATTAGCCACTTAGTAGAGGGTAGGGTTTTGGGGACAGAATATGGATTTCATTGTCAGTATTAGAACTCAGTGAGATCCCAGGAAATCAGCTGAATTAGTCTCCTGCTTTCAGGCAGGTGAGGGTATTTGAATAGATGAATGGCTGTCTGTTTTCATTCTTAAATTGTCCAGGAGCATAGACTCCATATCCTCTAGCTGCTGCATTCTTGGCTTGTGGGAAGATAGTCCAAGTCTTGAAACATATCTGAATGTGCATTTTAGTTACACGGTCCTGCTTATAAGCAGGTGCTTAGGAAAAAGTGTGAGTTGATTTATGGCTGCCTGAGGTACAACTCTGGATCAGCCAGGTGGCTTGAGAAGTCTGGTTATGCACCTGGGTGCCCTTCAATGAAAAAAGTACAGTATTGGTTAGTAGTTCCAGTAAATAGCCTCAAAGTTTTAGTTTAAAAAAATTTAGTTGTAAATGGACACATACTTTTATTTAATTTATTTATTTTTATGTGGTGCTGAGGATTGAACCCAGTGCCTCACATGTGGGAGCAAGTGCTCTACCATTGAACTACAACCCCAGTCCTATATTTTTAGGTTTTGCTTGTATGAATGTTGACTTTTCAAAGGAGAGAGCTGTAATTTTCAATGGAAAGACAGAAGGTTGAATACATAAAACAAAACAGAATAAAAGGCTGGTCACCTGGGAGCCAGTGAGCTCTGTATTGTTAGAAGTATTTCTGAAGAAACTAGATGGCCATTCCTCAGGGAAATTGGGCTGCATAATCACTAACCCTCTTGCAACTCCGAGAACCTGAAATTGTGTATAACTTGGAGACTAGAAGATTCAAATACACACAAAGTAGAGTGTAGATTACCAGTAGGTAGCTGTATTAAAATGTAGTTGTATTCCTGGTAAATGTATTTAAATTTAAAAGCAGAGTGAAAATTGTGCAATGCTTGAAGAAGATGGATTTGCTAATTAATTCTCAAGGGATGAGGTATTGAGGAATTGTGAGTGTGTGTGCCAGTTTCAGCTTTAAGCACAGGAACCATTTTTAGTCCTTTCTCTTCAAACTTTGTCTAGCTTGTGTGGTGAACACATAGCCATTAATTTGGCCTAGAGTATCAGGACACTGTAGTGGAATGATGATACCAACAACTTGTGAGCTGTTCAGCTACTGAAAAATTATTGTAGTATTTGGTCATACTTTACTTTCTGATAAAGTATGATCCTTGGGCCAGGCATGGTGGTGCATGCCTGTAATCCTAGACTCCAGAGGCTGAGGTAGGAGGATCACAAGTTCAAGGCCAGCCTCAGCAACTTAGTGAGGCCCTAAGCAACTTAGCAAGACTCTGTCTCAAAAAAATAAAATAAAAATAAACAAGGACTGGAGATATAGCTCAGAAGTTAAGTGCCCCTGGGTTCAATCCCTGGTATTTAAAAAAAAAGAAGAAGTGTAATCCTAGGGAAAGGACCAAGCATAGTCTTCCAGAATTAGCTGCCTGGCTTTCTCTTTGAACTTTGTAACCAGACATCTAATATAGCCAGGGTCCCCAGAATTTTTTTTGTGGCAAGAATGACTATATGATTCTTGACCCCAGAACTAGAAGCAGTTGGCTGCTATGATCAGTGTTGATGCTCTCATATATGGAGGAAATCATAATAAGGTGCCATCAGACCAGTTTCTGTTGGACTGGTCCCCATTAATGCTTATGATGTGTACTTATTGGCAGAGGAGTCAGTCACTGAGTTGGATGAACCGAAAAAAGCTTTGTAACACTGCTTAGTAATCATCCCACTTCTTCTAGCCCATTCAAATTCTACTCCTTTTTCAAGCTCTTTTAATTATAACAAATGATCACATGGCATTTCTTATATTTCTGAATTCTGTGGTGATTATACTTTTTCCTTGTCCCCCAAAGCTGGAGGGGATTTTTTTCAGGGTCAGGAACTATCTCCTATGTCTGTGTATCCCCCACAGTGTCCTCCACTAGGCTTTCCATAGAGTAGATGGTCAGTAAATGTTGCTGAATGTATACATTCTGGATGCACTTAGAATTTAACAAAATTAACAGAATTTAACAGAATTACAGGGTGGTAGAGTTGGAAAGGGCTTTGGAGAGACTCTGCATTCTTTTGTGAGGAAATCAGGCCCACAAAAGTGAGGTTGCTTCATTAGGATCAGTTGACCAACCATTGTCTCTGTAGAGTACCATCTTTCAACTCATGGCCCCCCTTTGGCTATGGGATGCTAAAGGTATTCACATTACTAAAGCTGTGCATGGTGCCAAATGTTAGATCAGCATATTCTGGGTTCTTGCTAGCTAGTGTGTGTGTTACCTAGGTTATTTGGGCCACCCAAGCTTATGCTCCTAGAAAATGGAAGCATCTTTGTGGAAAACTGACAGCATTCCAGCATGGCCTTCTGGTAGTCTTGCAGGAGCCAGTGGCCCATCTCTAAATGGGAACTT